TTCCCGAAGAAGAGCCAAGTAGGCATCGAAACGTAGTGTTCCCTGTTTGGACATCCCCCCTTTTTCAAATTATCCGACCCAACCAGACTGATCTCAGTCTGGTTGGGTGGAACTCAACTGCTGTCTTTTACTAATGACCTACTTTCTATTCTAGATCGTGGATCCCAGATTGACTGTGTTTTTCTTGATTTTAGCAAAGCATTCGACAAAGTTTCCCACAAGCTTCTGCTCCTCAAACTTAGTAAACTTAGCATTGACCCAACTGTTTTGTCCTGGATTAGAGACTTTCTAACAAATCAATCTCAATTTGTCTTCACTAATCAAGCTAATTCTCACCTCAGTTTTGTCACCTCAGGTGCTCCACAAGGGCCCATCTTAGGTCCTGCATTATTTCTAATCTACATAAATGACTTACCTCAGACTCTGTCATCCTTTGTTAGTCTGTTTGCAGACGACTGCGTCATCTATCGCGAAATCACTTATAACTCGGATGTTCAACTTCTTCCGACTGCCTTAGACACTCTTTTGGACTGGTGCAACACGTGGTGTATGCAAAGCGATGCGTGTATCTCCAACGTAACTCATCACCACTTTCATACACTCTTGGTACCTTCCCCTTGAAAATCATACTTTCCTACAAATATCTCGGAGTTCAGTTTACAGATAAGATGTCGTGGAACGTTCACATTGATCATATCGCTGCTAACGCTAACTCCATGCTAGGTTACTTAAAACAGAATTTTACTTCAGCACCAATGTCACTAAAATTACTTTTATTCAAAACCCTGGTACGCTCTAAATTGGAGTACGCTGCAGCAATCTGGGATCCCGGTCGCACCACGCTCGTATCTAACATTGAAGCCATTCAGAACCGTGACGCGCGGTTTATCTTTTGTGATTATCATCGTACAGCCAGTGTGTCATCCATGAAATCTAACTTGTCTTGCCCCTTCTTTCTCTGCGCTGTGAAATATCTCGTCCATCGCTTTTTCATAAAATTTACTTCTCTATCCCTACTCTAAAAGAAAAAGTTATTCTCCCTCCCCCGCACCTCTCCTTCCGCCTTGATCATCGGTATAAAGTTGGAATTCCCCAGTGTCGCACCTCCGCCTACCTCGAGTCTTTCATTCCCAGGTCGTCATCGGAGTGGAACCACCTTCCTGCATCTTTAGTATCTATATCATCATTTGATTCTTTTAGAACTGCATTAACCAGCCATTTTCGCCAGCAGGCACCCTGACTGCTTTTAGAGCGCAGCTCTTAGGGGCCCGTTTCCGGCTTGAGCGGCGTCGCCGTCGGCGTAACCGCGCGGTGCATCATGGGAAATGTCCCATAATGCACCGCGCGAGCCCCCCACCAAGGTCACGTGACCTCGTGGGGGGTCACGTGACCCCCCGAAGTCACGTGGCCCCCTCCTCGAGGTCACGTGACCCCCGCCGATGTCGCGTGACCCCCCGATGACGTCATCGTCACTGATGACGTCACCGGCATCCACATCGTCACCGTCATCATCACTGATGACGTCACCGGCATCCACATCGTCATCGTCATCATCACTGATGACGTCACCGGCATCCACATCGTCATCGTCATCACTGATGACGTCACCGGCATCCGCATCGTCATCGTCATCATCACTGATGACGTCACCGGCATCCACATCGTCATCGTCATCATCACTGATGACGTCACCGGCATCCACATCGTCATCGTCATCATCACTGATGACGTCACCGGCATCCGCATCGTCATCGTCATCATCACTGATGACGTCACCGGCATCCACATCGTCATCGTCATCATCACTGATGACGTCACCGGCATCCACATCGTCATCGTCATCATCACTGATGACGTCACCGGCATCCACATCGTCATCGTCATCATCACTGATGACGTCACCGACATCCGCATTGGCATCGTCATCATCACTGATGACGTCATCAGTGACGTCACTGATGTCGTCACCGGCATCCGCATCGTCATCGTCATCATCACTGATGACGTCATCAGCGACGTCACTGATGACGTCACCGACATTCGCATCGTCATCGTCATCATCACTGGTGAAGTCATCAGTGACGTCACTAATGACGTCATCGGTACCCGCATCGTCATCGTCACTGATGACGTCATCAGTGACGTCAGATGACATCATCGGCATTGGGGGTCACGTGACCCCCAAGGTAACGTGACCCCCCCCTGGTTAGTTTAACCCCCCCCCCCCCAGTGCCCTTCCCTCCTCCTCCTCAAGAGCTGCGCTCTAATTCGGCATTACAGGGAGTTGTAAGCGGCTTTTTTTTTCTCTTGTATAAATTTTTGTGTTTATTCTCATTTTTGTATTATGTTTTGTTACTTGCCCCTCCCCTCTGTAATACCCTCGGGCCTTGTGGGTACTGAAATAAATAAATAAATAAATGTTCATGTTCACGTGTGTTAGTGTGTCTAGCTCTTAAAATTTAGCCCTATATATGCCCTTTTGTCACTCACATTCTGCATCCAACAGTAAAGAGCTTCACTGTGAATTATCAAACACCCGTTCCTTTCTTATGTCTGGTTTTTTTTGACCAGTACATCGCTGAAGCTGGTTTCTCTCGCATTCTTCCCTCCTGCATTTTCATTTCTGCTTCTTTTGCTCTTTTTTATGCCGAACTAGTCTGCTTAGCCCGATCGCTAGTGCGTAGGCATTTGAACGTGAGCTTTCTAGCTGAGTTCATTCATTATGGGTTTAAACACTTTACGTATACTAACTGCTGGTATACTTCCCGTGCCTACCACGTATCCTCCGTGTATTTTAAGCGTTGTGCAAATCTCGGTTTAAAAATGACCCCCATGCTCTCAATGGAAGTGTACCAGCCCATCTCCATATGTAACCCCCTCATTTGGTGCATTCCCATAAGCTCCCACATCGAGTTTCTAATTTTGATCGCACCACCGACCTCATGCACTGTACCCGTCCCAGAAAGGTAGTCCAGGCGCCGGCACTTTTTTTTCAAATACCCTACCACTTCGTGTCCATTATAAATAAAGCACTTCGAGTTTCATATTAGCTGAATTTACTTTCCCTTTGCTAATGACTCGTATTTCTTTAGTGTCTCTATAGATATGTCCTCCACTCACTGAGCCATACCTCCAGATGTTTGTATTTTTACATGGTCTACTACGACGTCTCGTATTCTCGGGCGTTCTCTTTTTTTCGTCATTAAACGTCATTACTCCAGACTCATGACTATTACAACCCGGGCCCACAATGTCCTCTCCACATATCCCAGTTAGTAGGTCCAATGTACTTTGTGTATTTGCCATGAGTACTACATACTGACCCCTTTCGAAAGTTGGGCCCTCTGTTGCGTAATCCCCGCACAATTGCAGACACGAGCGCAGGCTTCTCGAGTTTGACCACACTTTTGCTCCGGCTGCACGAGGGCTCGAGCCCTCATGCAGCGGGAGCAAAAGTCTGAGCCAGTACTTGTTGGTGCCGCTTGCACGTTCCGTGATGTCGGATGGCAAACAAAATGTTATCACATTTAATTACTACCTCTTCACAAGCCTCCCCGTTGGCATGGTGGCTACGCGCCGGGCTCAACGCTCTTAGGGTCCCGAGTTTGACTCCCCTTGGACGACCTTCGGCGTACTCTTTTGCCCCATCAATTTATCCACCAACTACACTACCGCGCATGCGTAATTGCTCTGTGTTACGGGGCAAAATTTACCCAGGGGCGCTGCTGACAGAAATGCTGTCGCAGTTAAAAAATCTGTGGCTCGAGCATGTTTTTTTTTTTACTTCATAGTTCGCTTAATTTGAAGCCTCTCGCTGTCTGTGTCAATGTTGAATTCCTGAGCATCTAGTAACCCTGTTAATACATTCTGCATTTGGTATTATTCCTGTCTCTATAATTCATCCACAAATTTGTGCGGTACGGTAGATGCCACAGACGGGTGAGAAGGAAAAGCAACTTTTGTATGAAACTTGAGCAACAGGCTAATCTTCTAGGTGACTTCTAGGTTCTAGGGTAGCAAGGAAGTTCCCCTTTCCTGCTTCTTGAAATGGAAGCGCTACACTCTCGTCTCTGCACCTTTGGTAATGCCGTGCGCAACTAGTGAGAGAGCATAGGCAAGTCATGAAAGTCGCAGACGAGTATGCCCACGTTTTTACCATACGACAGATATGTCGCCGCATAAACATGTCCATGCGCCCGTGCAGTTGGTTTTTATGGCCAATGCTGGCCGTGAGAACCTATTACGATGAAAAAGATGTTAACTTTTGAAATGATAAAAACTGTAAATAGAACAGGCATAGACAAATTTTGTCGTTGTCTGTCAATACCTCAGTCTCGGGTTCTTTACTTAAATGTTTGATATACACCAGTTCACTTGAGCCCTTACGTTCTGCTCATCAACATTTTATAGTTTTAAAAAGGGATGCACAAGGTTGGCAGCAATAATGCATTTTTTTTACCTGAATAGCGTATTGCACAACCAAAATCGTCATTAAGCCTACCTTCAAAAAAATGTTTTCACCGCAATTTCATTTGAACCTCTTCTCGTCATTCAAACGTCGGAGATACGGTTATATTCAAAGAGCTACCCCATCAAACTGTATCTCATGGCTGCCACATCTTTCTTCCGTAGGGCAATAGTTGTGTGACGGAGGTTTTGAAAACTTGCGCTTTTATTATCTCCCCAACGCGTGCATTCTTTTACTATTACTTTCATTTGAATATATTTTAGGCAATCGATATTTTACAATCTTAATTTAGGATCTCTTCCAGCAAATAATGAAGTCGCACATGCGTTTGCTTTTCCTTATTGCTTCAATTTGTTTCGTAGGACTGCTTCGTAAATTCTCTCGTAACTATCTCGACCTGGCGAACTTTTGGGGCAGCTCGTTCGGCCTCTGCTCCCTACACCGTGCACCCACAAGACGAGTAAAAAAGAAAAATAAAGTTATTTGTCTCGGAATCGGATCAATCTCAAACCGGAAGGACCGAAATACCCACCTCTTCGGGCGGTTTGACGAAGTAGGGCAGCTTTCCGCGCTGCCAGTCGTTGAGGACCATCTTCGCAACGGTGGGCACGTCTGGTTCCCCACCCTGCAAAGTGCGAGCACATTTGTTGATTCACAACATGCATTGTAATCTGTGACCCGGTCATCGTATAAGACGAACCAAAGGGGCATCTACGCAGTTCTTGCTTCGCAGAAAGCTACATTACAACGCAAAAATTTAAGCCCACCTCGTGACCTTCCTTCACAAGTGAGAAGCAATTTTAGAAAGTTTTCTAATGTAGAAAGTTTGGGAGGCATGCGTGTCCTTCGAAGCAGAAATTGTTCCTCCGCACGCTCCGACGAGGAGGGTGGCCTCTCGGACTCGCCTGAGAAGACAGTTTTTGTTGTCATGACCAGCCACAGACTTGATAAGACCAACGTTGAGAACCTAACTCATCTCACCGTGCAGGGAAAAGCAATTCTAAACCAACCGACAGTTCGAGTTCTTAAACTAGAAATGGACGAGCATGGGGAAGCAGTGGCATGACTGGACATTCTCACTAATGCCTGGAAGAACACCCTAGGACCGATTAGAAGAGTTACCTCAAAATCCCTGAGCACTTGCATATCCTCGTCAAAGCACCGCTCACCTCCCAAATGGTGTAAGCCTGAAACATTGTACCTCTCACTCAGCACAAGACAAGAACAAATGAACTGAGTGCATGAACAGAGTCGCCGTGCGAGTCATTACAGGACTTCCTAAATTCACCGCTGTTGTCAATCTGTAACTCATTCAAAACTGTCGACAATCTGCAACATTGCCTACAGACGACCACTAATGCCGCTCCCTGCCCCGTGGGAATGGGCGGCCATCGTCGACCAAATGCCAGGAACACATGACGCAGGGTCACCAACACGATCGTAGACAGGCTGCCACCGCTCATTACAAGTTGAAAGCAACTGAAACAGTGTGCTATGTTTATATGTTTTTGACGATGCTAACGCACCTTGTGCCCGTTCCTAGAGTGGCCGTAAAGCATCTGGATGGCGGCAAGAATCCCGACTATAGACCGAAGATGCGCACTGCAATCTAGGTGTGCCCTGCCAGGATGCTATCCCAGCTTATAATTGTTGCCAGAGCGGGCATAAAATTTGCGAACGGCGGTGAGAATCCCGATTATAATGCTAAACGGCGTGCTGAAAGCTAGACATGCCCTTCCAGGACTGTTTGATGTTCCTTTTTATGTGCAGCTGGTTCCATTTAGCATGCTTAACAATCTAGCTCAACGTACTCCCGTACCGTTGCAGATCTAGAGTATGCCGAAGGCATCCCTTTCCGAGGGTGCATCTTCTGTCGGCAGATCCTGCTCAAGGTGAACACCTTGCGCTCATAGATTTGTGGCAGTGCCAGCTGTCACAAATCTATGCTCTTGCGAGCATAGATTTGTGGCAGTGTGGCAGTGCCAGCTCTGTGGAGCATCTCCAACCACGCCAAGACTGCTCCGCCGAAATCTGCAGATCTTCCCAAATGTCCACAACAGCACGTTACTGGAGCGAGCCAAATTGAAAGCACTCACATCTGTGATCCCGGGAGGAAGAATGAGAATGACGGAAAATCCAAACAAGAAACCAGATACAAGGCCAGGCGTGCAGATTTTGCCGCGGCTGATAGTTTAGTGGGCTGAAGTTAAGCTAGTTAATACATTGATTAAAAAAAAAAAGGTGCTAGCTGACCTTTTTTTTTGCACGATATTTTAGCTTTGTACACCGCAAGCCACCGGTGTTTTCTTGCGCAATAAAGTGAGAACGCAGTAGGCAATGGGAAGTTTTGGAATAGTGTACGCAAAGAATCGGGTCGTCGCCCCTGCGCATGTCCTGAACGCTAACTGCATTTTGCGCTTCGCGTGCTCATGCAAAGAGTTTTTGTGTCCCTCCAAGGAGAATTCGCAATGAACGAGAAGTTGGCTAAAGCCAAGATGAGCGCAGTTAGAAAATGGCAACTCCCAGGATTGTCGCCGGTCATCGTGAGCGTGATGTCGGCGACAAGTTTGCGACTGCAATTTTCGATACAGGATGACATTGCACTTCTATGGGAGATGCGTGCCACAAACGGCTTGGAAGACCCAGCAAGGTGGGCAACAATCGCCGGCAACTTGCGGCTTGAAACATGCGAATGCTTCTCGGCAAATGAATGACTGGTACGGTGTGCAAAGGTCAGTAAAGTACAGTCAGTCACGGAATCAATCAATCAATCATTTAATCTTTTATTTGCACAAAAAAAAAGGGGGGAACGCAGGAGGCGTGCACGGCTAGCAGATAGGTCTATAACCCATATGCAGGGGCGCATAACAGCCAATCCCTTGAGCACACGAGGAGATACAATTAGATGAAGAAGGACAAACTGTAGATCAGAAATGAAAAAGGAATACATTTCCTAATGAAAGGAACAACGTGACTACAAGTGCAGAAGAGCATGCGAAAGACTTCTGGTGAAACCGCCAAGGTCGTCAGTGGTTTGAGGCAAAGGCGGGCCCAGGGAGAGAGAGGAGAGTGCCTACAGCTCATGGAAAGAGGGATGTTGTCAAGTCTGGGCACGAAGGGGTAATGGAAGACATGTACGATTCGAGGAGGCTAGGTATGATCCAGCCATATGGGAGGCCCGGTAGAACGGCAAGGAGGCAGATTTGTGCCACCGTGCGATGACGAATCAGCCGACGGACTGCAGGTGCGCATCGTAGTCCGAGGGTGGATTGCGGCGTATCAGCGTCCACGTGGCGCGGCGCTGAACACCCTTCGGGGTTTCAATGCAATGCTGCTGATAAGGGCTCCAGATGGAGGAGCAGCATTTGAGACACGGAAGAACCGGGGCAATGTATGGTGTTTTCAGAATGAAAATTAACTGTTGGGCTAGTTGGGTAAACGTCTTAGTCACAAAGCACAAACGACAAGGACAGAACAAAGATACGAACAGGACAAGCGCTTATCTTGTTTGTATCCTTCTTCTGTCCTTGTTCCTTGCGCTTTTGTAATTAAGACTTTCAGAATAGCTTGTCCAAAGCACCAGAAAAACAGGGGCACGAAAACTAGAGAGCTGCGAGCCTTGGCCACGATTCTTGCCACGCGACGACCGAAGTCAAGATTTAGTGTTAGATATATGCCCAGGACACAAAGTGTTTGTACAGAAGACTGAAGGAATTTACCAAGTACACACATACGCGAGACCTCTCTTGCCGAGGCGGCGCAAATGGGCATCCTCATATTTAAACAAATCTCAAATGTTACCCTGGACCCAAATACTCCTTTTTTTCTCAAGTTACAACCTTTTGTGTCTGAAATAAAAATTGTTATCTCGGTGCCGTTTGCAAGCGCAAGATGCTTGGGTTTTTGCATCACGGCGCTGAAAGGCCCCGCTAAAGCTCTTTTGCATAGCCAAGGTGTCTAGCAAACTATTTTGAAATTCCCCGACTTTTCCAGGCTTTCTCTGAAAATTTCAGGTGAAATTCTCTGACCAATGTTGAGGCGGTTAAATAAACGAGACAATTACAACACAAGGCCTTGAGCATTGAGCACTGTGAGGATCATTTTGCACGGGCTTAATCCAATTTTCATATCCCGAAATATTCGGGTTCGACCCGTCCAGAATAAACTATAGTCGGTTACAAGTCAAGAAGGTAGGAGAAGCTCCTCCTATAAGTGTGATGCGCCCGTTTCAAATCCATCCGCAGTCGAAAGAATAGTTTCCTGGGAATGCCCCTTGTTCCGCTTCAATGAATAGATAATGGCTACAGAGTGATGCCAACTTGTCTCCGAACCCCACTTTTCAAGGAAGCGACCTTTGTAGTCATCGGAGAGGGAACCGAGCCCCTGAAAGTGGCCTTTGTATCCATCAAAGAGGGAAAACCTAACCCCCAAAGTCATTTTTGTTTCCACCGGAGGGAAAAATTCTAATCTCCCTCTCGTGGCTTCCAAAATGCTAAGTCAAAGTCGAAAGATAAAGTAAATATTCAAAGCAAGGCAAAACCCTCTCCCGCGTTGGCCACGACGTCACGGAAACAATGGGACGCTATTGGATGCAGAGGTGGCGGAGGGATATACGAATCCTTTTGAGGGGCATTTGCCGCTACCTTCTTGAGCTGTAACTTACTACAGTAAAACCTCGTTATAACAAAATGGGATATAACAAACTAATGGATATAACAAAGCAATCATAATTCCCCTTGCTTGCTTATAGGGAAGAAATGGACATTGGCTATAACAAACTAATGGTTATAACGAAATAATTACGATCGCTCCTTCAACTTTGTTAGAACGAGGTTTTACTGTATAGCACTTTCTTGCCGCCGACAGTGCCAGTGAAGAGGTCACTTCTGAAAACACATGAAAACACGACGCTCAACCACATATCACGCTCTATATGGGGTGAGCAGAGCCCACGCTCCGCTCTAAGCAGAATATATTGCCTCTTTTTTTGAACCCAAGTCCTCACGTCTTTGCTCAGGGTACTCAATGGCGTTTCCGGCTCATTTTCCCTGACTGGGGTCGCTTTTTGACAATATCCCTGACAATGCCCTGATTTTCCCCGGTAATTAAAAATTCCCTGACAATTTCCGGTTTTCTGGTTGTTAGACACCCTGGTAGCGTGCACCAACAGCGTCAGCATGCACTAAAATTGTTTACGTCATTCTAAAACTCCCTAATGACTGTGCGAGCAAAGGTTTCCTACCTCTGCGAGTTTATTAAAGTCTCCCTAGCACCCTGAGCTCCATCGACGGCATGTGCCGTGCATGCCCCGTCATTCCGAGGCGGTCAAAATGTGTAGGCGAAGGTGGCAAACGCGGACTTATTCTTCTCAATTTGTCACGGAGGCTCGGTGGTACCAATAATGCACATGCCATGGGCCGGTCGTTGCTTGCCCCGCTGGACTTCGACAGTAGCGATTGGTTTGGCAAAGAGCTACTAGATTAGCTCATCAAGTTCGAGCAAGTTTTAGCGGCGGCTGATTCAAACAACTGACTGTCTCTGGCGGTTTGCTCGGAAAATGTGAGTGCCTCTTCCGCTTGTCAATTAGGAGCGTGTCCCGCGGAGCGGGCTTTCTCCTTCCCTTCCAGAAAACCCGTCTGGATCTACCGGCACCATTTATCCTTCTAGCCCTATAAAGGCTACGCATTTAGACCCCCAAAACTGTAACAAATGCCAGAGAAATCGGGAACTCGAGACGCCCGTTCTCGGCAACGGAACTCACCTTGAGCAGCTTTCCCGACCTCCGTCCGAGCTTCTCCAGGAAGTCTGTTGCGTCGTCCCAGCTCTCGATCTTGTAGGTCTTCGCTATGTACTCCGGCCGCACGCGGGCCAGGACCTCGGCAATGTGGTCTTCGGGATCCTTGATGTTCTCCACCCTCACCTGGGAAATGTGCCGCATCTCGTCACACCAAGGACGCCCGCGTGTCTACGGGAGGACTTCCCCGTGGCTGCGTTGCACATCTTAGGCCTGGTTCACCCACTCGCGACCGCTCACGACCAAGTGCATTGAAACCTCTTGTGATCTCTTACACCAGTGGTTCTCAACAATCCATGTTTCGTGGACCCCTCGTGGATCGGCTGAGATGATGGAGGACCCCCCCGTTCGTGGTGAGAGGGAGGGAAAGGTATAGGTTAAATATAATAATTATTTAATAAATGGATTTAACTAAAGGCTCGTGTGAAGTAGACCTTTCTTATTGACATACACACGAAGAAACTCGCCCAAAAACTAAAACATTTCTTCTCGACCTGGAAAAAAAAACTTTTATTGTCGGGCTTGACTGATGAGGCAGGGCTTCTCAGACCCCTAGAATGCCTTCGCGGACCCCAAAGGGTCCGCAAACACCCATTTGAGAACCACTGTCATACACGATGGGAGAGCATGTTGGAGCTGTCTTTTGGGTAGCCAAGGAACTCTAGTGATTTCCATGTATTTTCTACTTTTTTCCCCCACACGATTCTTTTCTCACTAGCCAGACATCTTTTGATAAAGTCACAAACGACCATAGTATGTACGTCCAATCTTGCAAGTACTGCAAAACATTCACTCCAGCGAAATACAGTTCCGGGGCCACCTCATATATTGTGGCAGCGTGCTCTCTCTCTCGTCAGGAAAGATTGCAGGAACTCGGTTGTAAGCGAAAGCAAGTGTGTGAACCACCCTTCGAGGGGGACGGTGAACTCTCCTCGCAAAACATGGTATGTGCCTGGACAGGACAGCGCGACTCAACTGGAGTTAGAAGTGATTTTGAAAGGAGTGACTATTTCAGAGCCCACCAACAAAATATTTTGAGCATTATTTTGACGTCTACAACGTCACTTCCGTAAAACATAGAAATGACGGTCTTATTTTTTGACGTCCCCCGTCAAATGCAGCCTGTAGCCGTCATAGTCTGCTGCGGTGGTAGGCGTTTCGTGGTTTCCTTCAGTTTAGTTTCTGACAGTGTTCTGCACTGTTGTACTGTCGGTATTTCATCGACAGAGTCGTGTGCCGCTGTGCCGCGTGCCTAAGAAATTTCGGTCATACTTGGCTCAACTGGCTCGAGAGTTGACCCTTTCAAAAGTGACATGCCCGGCGGCGTCATTTCGGCATGCATTTCAATTAAAATATTTAATCCACAACAAAGGCGAGCTAAATTATCCCTCTAGCTGGCCTGCACAAAACAAATGTAGGTGCGTATGCATAACGCTGAGAATTTGGCACGCTTTTTGTTCCTCCACACCTCCACTACCGTGCAAGCGCGTTGCAAAGTCTCGCTTTGCATGTGGCTCCCGCCCCGTCTTTAACCGGGTTTTGGGGGTTCATTGTTTAGGTCTTTCTGGTTCGTGTAAAATGAGTGGGTTGGCTATCAAACGATCGGCAGAATAAAAATGAAACGTTTTGAATGCAAACACTGCCTCTTTGACATTTCTCGATTGGTGCAAACGAATAACAAAGGATCATAGTGCAGTCTGAGCTGCGGTTGTACGAAATACACGGATTTTCCAACGGCAAATGTCATACAATCAACTGCCGATTTTATGACAAGAGATTCAGTTCCTTCGTCTATATAAAACATGAAAGAAATCATGAACAGCGACAGCACCGCATTCTGTAATGTTTAGCGCAACCGAGCAAAGGTTGCTGGCCTGATAGCTGACCAGTTGTACTTTGAGAATTTTTTTTTTTTTTTTTTTTTGCATTCCTTAATATTTAAAAGGTCATAAAAACTGCAGTCAATTGCACGTTTGTTTTCGGAAAATGCATTTTGGACAGCGACGTAGACTCCAAGCAAGATGATACTTTTGGAATGCCACTTTCAATCACTTTCCAGTCTGGCTCCAGAGTTCTAAGTTTGAGACGTCAAAATAAGGACAAAAGTATTTTGACGGGAGACGTCAAAATAATTTTTAAAATATTTTCACGTCTCCAGGAAGTCGCGTCACAGACGTTGGAATAATACCTTAAAACTATATCAAAAAGTGGTCACCATAATAGTCATTGCCATTTTGAAATATGCTTTAAGCGGTTAAGAGGGAACACAATGCACTCAAGAGCGCTCAAACATACATGCATGAAGCAGTCTTAGAGGAACAACTGTTGGTCTAATAGAGAGTGCTTGCTCACCACTCCTTTGAGCACGATCTCAGTGTCGCTGTCCCCCGTCGGGTAGACCACGCCGGGGCAGTCGATGAGGTAGATCTTGCGCATGAGTGTGATGTACTGCCACACCTGGATGATGGAAAGATTGTTGGCAACTGGACAACAACGATTTGCGCCCCCAAACTGAATTTGAGCATTTTCAAGCTCAAAGTAAAGGCATGGGAAGATGTGGGCCAAAACATCACGCTAGTCTTGCTTACATGGCCCTACTACGGGCACACTTGAGGCAATCTTGAATACAAATGTTTTCCAAAGACCATTTAAATGTGGGTACAAACGAAAAATTAAACCCAGAAAAGAACCTACGTCAACAGTAAGATCACTTATATCTGCTTCATTTCACATGCAGAAACGTCTCAAGAGTAATTAGTTACAAAAATTACCAAGGTTATGACGCTACGAACAGCAGCCTTAGAAATTCTGTGTTCTCTGAACAAGGTGAATGTGGACAGCTCCCTTCTTTTAAATGAAACACGATGGTAGAATACTGATCAAGCACCCCTCCACCTTCCCATTTCCTTTACAAAATTCAGCTGCCTGCATTCACAGACGAAGCTCAGCGAAAGCCCCTAATTGAACTGCCATAGGCACAATGCACTTTTATCACTTATCTCAAAAAGTTTTCAGGACCGGCCTTGTATATTTTAAAAACTTGACAACACATATTACAAAAAATAAAAAAAAAAAACAGACAATAACCTAAACATTACTTAAAAAAACAGCAATAAAAAAAATGTGCACATCATTGTGTGTGCGACAATGTGCAAAAAATATTAAAAAAATTCCAAAGTCCCTAGCGCAGCGACGCGCGGAGTAGCCGTGCGCCTCAAGGATGCTTGTTGTTTTACTTTTTTTTTTCTTCCCGATACTGCTTGCCGCCATTTCTCGCCCTCAACTTCATTTCTGCTCTTCGTCTTCATCTTTCACTCTTTCTTTTGTGGGTTATTTCAGTTTTTTTTTATTTCTTGAGTTATTTCAGTTTTTTTATTTCTTTTTTGCATTCTTGTTTATTGGTTTTGCTGTCAAATCTTGAGCGTTGCTCGCTGATAATTTTGTTGTGGTCGTTTTGTTCTCCCGACGCGCCGCATGCCGCAGGGCGTCAAATCAATTGACGCACTTCTTGGAAGGGTTTCATTTGCACAATGCGTGATCAGTGCATTGTTCTGAAACTCACTTATTTCGAATATTTGTCTAGTTATATGACCTCGAGTTAATGAGGAATTACTGCATTTAGTGAGCTCCCATTTGTTAAACATCTTCGGTATTGGCGGACACGTGGAAATTTCAACTGGAGCTTAACTCTTTCCGTACTGCGCTCGTCAAAATCAATTAATCGTGATTGACGATTTGCGAGCCTCGTTGCAAGGCCTTTGACGCGTTTCTGGACAAGTTGTGGCATCTGATGGCTAGAACAGACACTCTAGTTTCAGTTCCGTATAGTTATGTTTTTCCATGAGATGGCAATTTATCGCAACCAAACACGCGGTCAAAAAAGAGCACTTTGCACTGCGAACATCACGTCTACATTGCGAGGCGCGCCTTTTCGGAAGCGTATGAAGCCTCGCAATTTGAGGGCATCTGCGGTTGATTTTGTCGCCAATACAAGCACGAGCGAGTCGAAAGATGATGTCAGGTCATCAGATTGCAGTTCTGACAGCGATGATTTACGAAATGAGCCCGGAACATCGACAACTGCACATCAGTAAGGCTTGTTTTGGCTTCGGATTTCGTGTTCTTTGCTGGTCTCACGTGAAAGTAGGGACAGTTTGCGCTTGTTGTCGATGCATTTGGTGGTTAGATTAGGCACTCTAGCTATAGTTTCTGTATAGTTCTTTTTTTTCCCCCCACAATATGGCGATTTATCATAAACAAACACGCAGCCAAGGAAATAGAACTCCGAGGAGGTGGTGCTCCATGTGCGAACATGGCATCTACACGAAAAGATTGTCGGGGACTCTCAACTGAGTTTCGTATTGGATGTTATATATCCGGGTTCGACTGTATGACTATGACACCTTGGTCTCTCCAGCGATGGGTGCCACATTGCAGACTTTTTTGGCCCTCAGGGCATTGATGACCGACGACTTTCCCACGTTGGGGTAGCCAATGAAGCCCACGCTGATCTGCCGCTTGTCCGTGTGGAGCTGCAACACAATCAGTCAATGGATCAATCCATCAATCAGTCAATGGATCAATCCATCAATCAATCAACCAAGCCAAAAATCTAAACTTGGTAAACCCTCAGAACAGCAGGTAGGGTAGCCTTTCCTTGTTCCTAAGTATTCCCCCATTTCTGCACGCTTTAGAAAGAGGCTTCCTTGTTTTATGTGTTAATCCCCGTTAAACCCGAAGGAATGACATTGATGCAACTATGAGCATAGCCAATTCTGTTGTCATATATGAAACGAAAATGTTGCCTTCAGGGGGGAGGCTGGTCTTTAAATGATAAAAAGTTGGGGAAAAGTCATTTCCAAGAAAATGGCTTTTCTGATGTTTAGACATACCCACCCAGCTCTGTGCAAAATATCATTGCTCTATGTAATTTTTAAATATGAAAGAAAAATATAAAGTCTTAATTTTTTATGAACATTCAGTAGGAATACACATACTTCAAGGTCTTTTTTCTCTCTTCACACTTTTTTTCACAAGTACCGATGCCTTACAGGCGTTTTCTGAAGTTTGTCTTGGACGATATTAACACGTTTTGTGCCATTTTAATCGGGAAGAATGGAGCTGTGCGGTGATGCTATTTTTATAGCCTTCCAACTTAAGAGCTTTATCCAATTAACTAATTTCTTAAATAATGAGAAAGCATGCCTTTTGCACTATAATTACAATCGTTTTTTAGTAACATAACCCTCCGAGTTAAGATCTAAAATAGCATCACCGCACAAATTACACCTTTGTGAATGCAGTTACATTAGAAATTTTGATAATTTACGAACAATTTTTTTTTTAACGACCCGTAACAAAGGAGCTAATCAAATTAGACCGATCTCTCCTAACTCGAGTTCTAGTAAAGATATTGAATATCTGATTGCATATTTGGAGTAGATGTGAGATGTGTTATACCAGTGTATAATATGATAAGCATTCTTTTATAAATAAGAAAATTACTCTAAAGCCCCACATCACCCCTTAAAGGGGTTATGACACGAAAATTAAACGGATAGATTATTCTTGAAATGGAATGCTCATAAGCTACTTAGTGTATACACCAAGTTACTCCATTTTTAGAGCTATAGTAATTGCAATAATCGATTTACGAATTTTTATCATTTTCATCTGGCTACCAGGCAACACTGCCGAGCTAGTCACGCCATGGTGTCCATAAATCACGTGACCATGAAAGCTCTCTCATTCTAGGCGCCCAAGCTCTCCACGCCGCGGGACGATCAAAACCGCTCACGCAACTCGGTAACCTGAAAGCTATTCCTGATCTCGCCCCCAGCCCGTTGACCTTCCACCCTGCATGCACCTGCGAAATATTTCCGGACGACAGTGACCACGGCGAGTTCGTCCTTAACTCGCCGTCGCTGGAGCTGGTCGCCAGCGGGTCGCAGTCAAAATGAACAGCTTCCAACATCTCTTAATAACAATTACTCTCATCGCTGCTGCGATCAATGTCGAACACTTTGACATGGCGAGCGATGCCGTAGACGTAATCGTCATGGACCGCATGTTCGAAACGCGGAAGGTACACGAGTAAGCTGAAGCTCGAGACGCCAAGAGAGCAAAGTCTGTGAGTGCGTGCAAGGGGACGCCGCGCGGGAGGCTGGCTACGTCTTTAGCCTCCCGCTCCACCCGGTCGGCCCCTCCAAAGGATCCGCACATAAATCGATTTATCCACGAAACTATCGCGCCATTTTCAATACAAATTTAGCAGGATTTTAGGAACATACAATGGGTTTTAGCAATATTGTCATCTCATATTTTATTTTTGGCGTGTCATAACCCCTTTAAAGCGGGCACAAAGTGGATCTTGAGATGGCCTTCTTGTGGCGCAAACTCAATCTGCATGCTGTAAGCATCCTTGGAAACACAAAATTGAAATCATGCATATCCTTTCTCCGCACAAAAAAAAAAATGCACTGCATTACATTTTTTTCTATATACACCTCAGTCACTGCATGATTGCAATTCTGGATTTTCTATGCTGCCTACGGTGCTTAGCGGGCTCAACACAATATGACACTCAAGAAAAACAAGTTCACAGAAATTAAATATAATTTCTGAAAGAGCATTTCACTACACAACCTATTTGAGCAAACGTGTTTACCCCATGTTGTTACTGTCACGAGAATCCTTTCAGCTTTTAGTTAATATTTGCATGAGCGTTTTCTTATCTAGCTACGGTCATAAGAGCTTGATATTTCAAACCTTATTTTTGAGTCATGTGTTACAAAGTGCATGAGATTTCCTTTTGGGTGTACGACAATTCCTTGGGGGTACCTGTACTAAAAAAAGTTGAATGTTTTTGCACTGTAAGCTCAAATTCCATGTTTGTTTACATCCATGGAAAGGAATAACACGTTGCTTTTTCTTCTTTTGAGAGCGCTTTCCTCGGAAAAGAAAGCGTGCTCACGAGGCTTTTGTGTCTTGCCACAACAACGTAGAGGATGAGGACGTGCTTGCCGTCAACGCATTGCTTAGGTCTTTGCCGTCATTGTGGTCGTCGAGTGACGAGGTTTCACTGTCACTAAGCATAATGCACTGATTGTCCAAGTCAATGTCGTCACTTCGCTCAAGCGACGCTTTGTGCTACTTCTGAGCATGCACGATCAGAACGAGAACAGAAATATTTACCACCAATGCAATTGAGTCATTCAACCAAGCAGCGAACATAAATCAATTTAATGCATTGAATATTACCAAATTTGCACGAATATAGCGCAAGTTTTTTTTCTTCGGAATTACGTGCTCCAAAACGCGCCTCGCGTTATATTCGGAATCGAGTTCAGCCACAAGGTGCGCGAGTCTGGAGAAAGCCATCCCGCCTGCTAAATGCAGGAGATCGCGTGGGAAAAGAAGTCGGGGTGTGGGAGGAAATTTATTAGCTATTGGGCCACGTGAAGGGGTGAATAGAAAACATAAAAAAGCATTTTTTATCGCTTTAGTGTTTGTACAACGCAGGCACGCCCCAGAAACGCCGCAGCGCGCACCATGTGGGAATGCAGGCACTAGCCAATTCAAGCCAAGCCAGGCCAGGCCAGGCCAAGTCACCACAAGCCAAGCCAAGGCCACCAACCGCATTTATGCAATCGTGCAGTGCGACACGAGGTGTTTGTTTATGCGGAGGGACCAGAACAAGAATAAGTGTGACCGTGTATCGGGTTCAGCAGTCTTTTTTTCTGCCTATGCATTTGTTAGCTTCTGCTCCAGAGTGGTCTGGTGTTTGTGCGTTGGTGCTTCTGCTTTGTGCCTTGCTTGGATTGTGGGCTGCCGAGGAGCTCGCACCAAAGAAAAAGAAAAAGAGAAAAAAGAATTAGTGGTGCCATACTGCTGCTTATCTGCGTAGTCGCCAAGTGGATCGTAGATGGAAGGACCTGAGCAGTCAGGAAGAGTGCAGTCAAAACATAAACTGATATTTCTTTTATTTCCATTGACTTTTCACTTCTGCTATGCCCCTGAGAGCGAGAAATTGGCGCGGCCTTGGCTCGCGTTATAATAGTAATAATATATTTTTTTTCTTTTTGAGGGCATCAAAACCTGCCCTCACGTTATATTCGTGCAAATACAGTATGTTTGATACGTGACAGTACCTGTACCATTCGTTAAAAATTTGCACCTATTTGAGGGCGCTCTTTTTCCGTTCCAAGGTCCAAATTGAGGCACGTCTAAAGACGCGCTCCCTAGTTAAGGGGTTAAGATGAAGCCGAAGTTAACGGTGGATAGCCAATTCTTGGGGTTGTGTCAATATTAAATTCTCCATAATAGTAGTTTTGAATAATACATTATTCAATATTCACTTCGAGATGAACTTTGATATTCACACTTTTCGAAGTGCTGATCGCAGTGAACTAGCTCCGTTGAGTGCACTTCTCACCAAGCACCTGTGCACTGCGGGGAGGCAACACCAGTGGAGCTTGCGGGTATTGCTTCCCCGCAGTGCACAAGTGCTCAATGAGAAGCGCGCTCAACGGAACTCGCCTGCCACTTTACAACCAACGTTCATCGCTCGTGCTTGTTTTTTTGATAGTGTTTTTTTTCGTGCCAAATTTGAAATTTAAAAAATAATAGTTTTATACAGCAAGCAGATTTATAAATCCCCTGAATTGGGATAGCTACGACAAATTTGTCGTTTACATGCCACGGTTCATAGATATTGTTATATTCAAATTAACTGAGCTTAGAGGTGGACAGCTGGAAGGTTGCAAAGAACCTTCACGAGTTCGGTTGAATTTGGTGCACGCTAGTGAAAGGCTTGGGAAAACTCTTCGATACTGTAAGCGACTTATTTTTCGTGGGCTCAATATATCGCGATTTAGGCCAAAGCTGAAGTTTTGGAATTATGGGTATGCAAATACTCGAATATACGAATTCGAATCGAATAGAAAGTTCCCGAATAATTCGATTTGCGAATGGAATTCCTGGTATTCGGTCACTCGAATATTCAATATATTCGGCCAAAGATGCGCGGTTGGCGTGGAGCTGACAAAAAGGCCGTTTTTTCTCCCGATGTAAGCGCCGTGATGTTAGAGAGACCGTGCGAGGAACACCTCTTGGTCCTACCATTCCACAAAAATCTAACGCACAGGTTAGAAAAAAAAAAAGTAACGAACGACAGAAACTTTATAGCACGCAGATTTACTCACGATTGTGACACAATCTACCCTTGAATCACAACCGAAACATCCCGTTTGCGCCGCTTCCAGAGAGGAATTGTTGGGAAGCTGGAATCCCGCGCCATGCCTAATTCCTTTCACGAGTAAAGCCCCTCGTTTCAAATTAAAGCGCCGATGTAAAACACACTTGCCGCACTCACAGAAATCGGCGACTGCACGATCACAGAAAGAAAACCACATTAAACACGCCGATGAAACCAGCCGAGCTGTCGTCAACATACTTTTGGAACCGCAAGCCGCAAATTCTGATTCGGAACACAACGGAACGAAAAAATAGTGTGCCTAGATTTGAGAGAGTT